GTGATCGGCGCAAGGGGCGCCATGACCTCAGCCCCCTTTCTGTGAACCGTCTATGAATGGTCCTTGTGTTCACTGAAGCACTAGTTGCACGTACAATCGATGATAATGATGCATCTGGGGCTGTGAGTGCCGCTCTGAGGATTGCTCGGTCTTCACGTTCTGTCGTTTCCCTAGGCCTACCGCTTCCTTCTTGACGTTGTGTGCTGCCATGGTTCACCCATTTCTGCCAACATCGTCTAATAGTGGCATCGCTCCTGCTCAAATGTCGAGCTATTCGCCGATAAGACTAGCCGGCTTCTTTGAGACCAACTAAACGACCTCTCTCAAATTCTGACATCTGCGCATATCGTTCGCGCACCTGTATGCGTGGCATAGTTACTGTCTACCAGAGTACACGGAATGAAATTCGTGAAGACTTTATGACCTGGAATCGTATTTTCTTTTCTTAAATATCCTGCCAGTTGCGCAGATCAGATGTGCTGTAGCGACAAACTGTTCATTCATTGGCAGCCAAAATGTAAGTTTTTGCATTTCCCGTCGAAACCTGTATGCATATCAATTTGTGTCCAATTTGCTTTATATCTTCTCAGTGCGTCGTTTTTTTTTAGCGCTTTGCCGTATTCAAACAAGCGATATATTTACATGGATAAAAAGTTTTAACCATTTATCCTGTTCCTTAATGTTGTAACGTTTTATTAATGAAAGAATCTTATTTTGTCTTTTGTCACTTCTGCATAAGTTGTTTTTATGAACAGTGCTTCTTCAATAATAAAATTCATTGGTTTTTAATCAGTTAACAACGGTAAGAAAGACGTCTAGTGTCATCATTTCGGATGCTCAATCACTTACCCTTTATTTATAAATTTTGGTTAATCAGTTCTTAAGTAACTGAAAATTTCGAAAACAGAGATAAAGATTATTTGAATATAGAATATTGAAGCCCGCGAGGGCTATTTGCCTTTACGAATGACTTTCTGATGGAAACTCCCTCGAATAAACGTTGAGGAGTACAATAATATACAATATATAATGGGAATAATAATATATAATGGGGAGGGAAACCAAACATGAAGCAAACCCGTTCGTCTGCGATCGAACCCAGGTCAAACTTCCAGCATTCATTTGTCTTAAGTATTAGGTCACTGTTCGGAAGAAAGAGACGTAAAAAAGAGTTGCAACAGAAAAGTACTCTTTTAACTGGTGAACAGCCAAGTGCTAAGACAGTACCGTATTTAAATTTTCATTAAAATATACAGTTTATCAATGACAAAACGCTGAATTTTAATAGTTCCACTCAGGTTCGAATTACGGAGAGCGGTCTCAGTTTTTAGGCGTTTTCATGTTTTTTGCCATATGTAGCATGATTGCAAGCCAGTTTCCCCTAGAAAGTCCTCAGTGAAGGCATCCCTGTTGTTACGCAACAGCTCTCAAATAATGACGCTGAATGCGATGTGTTAAATGACGAAATGTTTTATTTGGCTGAGACTCGAACACTTAAATATTCAATGACGCTTTGCCAATGGCAAGAAGAGTTTTATTAGGAATCTGATGAATTATATCCATGTTTTTCCGGTACCTTTACTGCCATTGCCCGTAGCGATTCAATACTAAAATTTACAGATATCTCTCATCTCACCAAATTTAGTGGCACATATATATATATATATATTAATAATAATAGCAAGGAAAAGACAAAGCAGTGTTGATGCGTAATACCCAGATAGGATAAATCGTCGATCCATATTGAAGAATAAGAATTCTGAATTGCGTAGCATGCTATATGTTGACTTGGTAATATGTACGAAACTTGACAGTCGAGGTAGTTTTACATTTGTGACATTTGTGACCGCAATCACTTGGCACTCTAGTCGTGCCTATTCACAGAATATTTACTTTTTTGATACTATGGCGATAGCAAGTAAGCACAGCGAAATCACGTCCAAGCAGTGCATAAGTTCAAGCTAAAGTGCGTAGTTATGCAAGATGGAAGCACACGAAGAGAAAGGTTTTGATTTGAGTTAAAAGTTTCAGTTCCCAGGTATTACGTTATCAGCGTTGCGTATCTTGCAAAATGGAATAATCTAGAAATAACGCACTCCAGAGAAGTTATTACGATTTTTAGAATAGAGAGGGAGAAATTAAAGTTTTACAGTTAATTTAAATTATAATTTTGATTTACATATTTTTATCTATATATATATATATATATATATATATACAGCTTGCCATGGTTTTAAATTTGAAATCCGAACCCCCCAGCGGCCGAGCGGTAAAGACGCTGAACACTCGATCCGAGGTTCGAATCCCGCGAACGGGCTGGTTGCATGGGCGTTTTCGTGGTTTTCCCCATGTGAGCATGTGTATACGAGCCAGTTTCCCTTAGAAAGTCCTCCACGAAGGCATCACTCCCTTTAGGCAGATAGCCCTCGTGTGCTTTGCCATAATTAAATAATCCAATCCAATCCAATCCAATCCAAATTTGGAATCCATTACCTACATCCCTGTTAGATTTATTAGACACCTTAAGCCACCAGTTCTTAAACTTTGAGTTCGGAGATCTCTTTTCTGTACTTGTTTATGCATGGCATTTTTCACGCTAAAATTTAGCAAATGAAAATTTAGCTCGAAAACACGCTTGCAAATTATTGATCATTAAATCTCGGACACCAAAGGTTTGTCTAACGGAAGTTAAAAATCATTCTTCTAAATGATTACACACAAAATAATTTTGTAAACAAAAAAATATAATTAAATAATCATACACATAAATGCGTAAATTCATAATAATACTATAAATGAAAACAAATATTTGTACTAAGTTGTTACAGCACAAGTATTCATTCTTATTAATAACTGCATCGACTAAAAATTACTATGGTTAGGAGAATATTATTATTTTTTTTTCCTAAAATAAGTGATGGCTGTTTAAAGAGACAGTAGTAAAGCAGAATGAACAGTTTGAAGTTGAATTAAAAAGAAATTCATTTCGCTACTTAGGTAATATGAAACCTGATCTATAAGAGCTTATGTAGTTTTATTTCTAGCATAATTATGATTGAAAATCTGTTTTGTATTTATAGCAAAGACTATAGAAATTATAGAACACCTAGCCATTAAAAGTTTTAAAAAAAGGGGGGGGGAATGCGCAGAAAAGGAAAAAAAAAATAAAATAAAAACTCAGTAAGATTTCACTGTAAAAATTACGTGAGTACTCGAATCTATGATGTTAAATAAAAGAGCTTTTTAGTTCTTTATGCTATAAAAAGGTTGGATAAACTAGCGTATGTGACGACTCACCTTTTTTTCTAGCGCATCTTGAGCCGTTGTATTGACCTAAGTCGCATCAGCTACACACTTACGAAAAACAAGATAAACATTAAGGAAGAAATAAAAACTATCGTAATGGCCTCGTTAAATGCGTGGCTTATCATATAACAACAACTTCTGTAAATCTTATCTTGTACACCAATAAATGTTCATTAGTTTTTCTCGTTCTAGAGTTTTTCTATCATTGTTTGCATTCAGGTTAGTCGTCTCTTAGTTCTTCAAAGCTTGAGATACTTAGACTTTTAGGTCTAATGAAATTTAGTTTTGTAAATGACTTTTAACTAAGAGGAAAAAAGTCATAAACAAAATAAAGTTAGGAAATTTCATTTACATACATTTTTAAAAACAACGGAACATGAAAATGTTTCCTGACATACATTTTGTCTTCTTTTCATAAGAGCTACGCAGAGCTCTAATACGACTTTGTGAGACGGTATTTTAATGACACAATGTTTTAGTAAAATGCCCTCACGGACGGCGGCTATGGATATTCTTTTGGAACCAACGGCAATAACACTAGTTGACTGGATTCATTGCTCTAGTTCTCGAGCCAAGCGACTCTTGGTACTACCAGCCTGCTTCTCTAAGACGATCCAACATCTGCTGACTTCACTCACTTTGTATTGTCTTCGGGAGAGTGGTTCGGAATCTTCTCATTTGTTAATACAAACGAAAAACTGCCACAAACATTTCAACTGACACAGCGGTGAAGAAATAGTGATAAAAGGTTTAAAGATGTGCTTTTCTGTGCTCTTTAAGTCGTTATTAGATCCGTAAGATACCTGTAACTGCGCATCAAAAGAAACATTTCTGGAAATCTTCGCTTTCAGGATATCTGAATTGCTAGTTTAAGCGGAAACCATTTCTTTGGCGAAAGCCTACGTAAGGCAGAGGTGCAAGCGGGATATTCTCTTCAACGTCGTCAAATGTCCCGAGTAAGTAGGCGGGGCATAGCTTCTAGCAGGACTGTTTCAACTAGGAACTTTCTCGTTTTAAACCAATGCAGAGAGAAATTCGTTTTTTTCGTCGTTTGGGCAAACTCCATTACATCCGTATTGTGGGTTCAATAACTATGTATTTTCTATGATTTGCAAATCTAACTGAGAAGTATTTGCACGTTATATTTCGAGACTCTGAACTGACTTTCTAAGCGAGTGGATGTTTTTGTTACAGTGTGTAACTCTGCAGTTTCAAGGATGCTTCCGTAGAAGAATAGGATGATATAAAATCAAGTACCATTGCGAGGAAAGAGATAGTCGCAACATTTTGAGATAATAAGTGTCCTTGCCGTTAAGTTAATTAGTTTCCGGGCGTATTTTCAAATATTTTCAACTGACCGAGATACTTCGCCCCAAACATAAAAAAATGTAAACACCGTTAATTTCTAGGACTTTGTAATTATTGCTAGAAAGACGTTACAACATAGGACATAAAGTAGTTGTTGAAGTAAAATTTTAGGCTTAACGAGCAATAAATAAATCTGAAAATAGCGGCCTTGAAAATAATAAAATAATCTTGATAAGCAGCCTTTGTTTATCATGAATGTGAACACTCTACTTTTTTTATTATCAAGCACCTGAAGATAGTTTTATAGATGATGGAAATGATAAAAAATATGTTTGATAAAGAAAATTTTTAGACAAACATAATCAGTTTCCTTTGACACAAAAGCTACCTTCGTGAATAGTTGATAATATGACTTACAGCTCTTAGTTATCTCTCGTGAAAAAAGGCAGCAATCGGAGTGCAAAAACAATGACAATCTTCGCGCATTTTAATGCCCTATTGTTTAAAAACAGCTGAAAACTTCTTTTCCCTGTGAAAGATTAACAGACACTTCTGACTAAGGTAGGCTAAATGACAGCTTAATAAATTTAAGTAGTATTCATCTGTCATTATTAAAATGGAAGGTATTGAAGAAGTCTCGTGGAAACGAAGAGCTACTTCTGCTACCAGTTCTAACAGCTCTGTAATAGAATATGTAAATGAAGTCTTTACTGAATCAGAACTTGAAATGAGCAAATCTGTAAATGTTGAAGTCACAGAAAACACAATTTCGGTTGAAAATCCTCTCACAGGCGTTCAGGTGGATAAAAAAGATATTGTGGTGGATAAAAAAGCAGACTTTTCTGACAACGTTTTACAAGATTTTCCCGTTCGCTCAGGTAGCTTTCAGGAAGTTATTGAAAAAGGTTTCAGAAACATGTATCTGTCTGCACTTGTAGTTCTGTTATTCGCAATCTGTATGGGGGTGACTGCAACATACACTGCAACAGCTACGGAGGATATGAAAAAGAAACATAGCAGCATACATCCATCTTCGGACGATGTTACATGGATTGGCAGTTTGATGGCCGTCGGAGCACTAATAGGTGGATCAGCGGGTGGTAAGTCAATTGAATTACCTCAAATAAAGGAGCTGGAATATAGGGAAGATTCCCCCCCTCCCCAGCTTTTAATGCTTCACACATGCTGCAGAGTTTCATGTCGTAGAAGGGAGAAAATTACAAGCCATGATTTCCAATATATTTTAAAATGAATGTTCGAGATTAAGGAGATGGATAATAACAACTTAAAATATTCGAGATTAAGGAGCAATTAATTATGTATTATTAATAAATATTTGATATTTCTTGATTATTAATTAATTTAATACCTAATGAAAAATTTATTCCTAACGAAATACGAAATTGGCATATTTATTTCACTTTTTAAATCTCTGCTATTATTTATAATGTTTCTTGTAATAGATAACTGCGTAATTCTAAGTTTAGAAGTTATATATTCATTTAATAGTCCTTTTCTCAAGGCTTATACTTTTATTGATAATTTAAACAAAATATTTAAATATCGATCTAAATTCATCAGTTTGATTAATGCTTATATGTAGTGATTGAATAAAAGTAAATTTTATACTACTAAAACATAATATACTAAAACTACTATTCTACTAAAACATAATATTGAAAAGTATGAAATTTCACATAATGTTTTCCTAAAAGAGTTTTTAGTCGAAATTCCAGTCTCTATTCGATTGACTTATGCATCAATCTCTGTCTCTCTTTTTTTATAATTTTTTCATGCTGTCTATAAGAAAATGTTCCATATTTCCGTAGGTTTCGTGCAGGGAAGCAGATATTCAGAGTAAAAGTAAAATTTTGCAAGTAAAATTATTGCTGTGAGCTAAAAACAAATACAAAAAAATTATGACATTTGTATTTCGAGTTTAATGGGAGGTTTCGTGAGTTTTGTTCTTAAATATAACAAAAGGTCTTAATATCTGGTTAATGAAGAACAGACTTGAAACCCAACGAGTCCTTGTAACATCTCTTTAATTTTATCACTTTTGTAATAAACGTATATTTAGGTAGCTGAATAAGAACATAAGCATGAGGTAAAATTTAAATTCCTTAATCGTACTAGGCCTACGACTGGCCGAGCGGTAAAGTCGCTGAACATTGGTAGTTCGGTTCGAATCTCGTGAACGGGCTGGATACATGGGCGTTTTCGTGATTTTCCCCATGTGTAACGTGTATACGAGCCAGTTTCCCTTAGTCCTCGACGAAGGGCACTCCTTCCCTTAGACAGATAGCCTTCGAGGGGTTTGCCATAATCAAGTAAACCAAACCTTAATCGTACTAGTAATATCATCATTTCTGGTAAAAGGAGAATAGAAAGCCGTCTTTATTATTTTATCCAAACTGAAGAAAGGTTACCATTTTTAAGTTGTTTATAACAAAATGCTTTATGATTACCTACCATGAAAGACTTTCTACAGACTTTTCGGACAGACGTCGTGGTCCAGTACTTGTTGAGAAAACAAAGGAAAGCTTCGATATTGACAACATTGTAATTCATTATGAAATATGCTTTATTTAAGAGCATAGTAGGAATGAATGTAAGTTCGAAAATATAAAATAAAACTCATTTAGAATAAACTATTTCCTGAACAAATTATCTTTCGAGGCAACTACAAATAAAAATAATTGAAGTATATAATAACGACACTGTTTAGTAAGTAAATATTTTAACTTTTTCTCATAGAATATTTTATGCTTTTATAGAAGTTAAAAACAATGCAGGACTTCAAAAGCCGCACAAAACGAGGGGGGGGAAGCAGAAATTTTTCCTTTAAATCTCAAATGGTGAGTAGCAATTACCAAATTTCCTGCTACATCTATCAGAAAAATTGTAGATGAACATTTTGTTACGGGCTCCTAAGTGGGAATTTTCTCTACCAAACCCTCCTGAAGATATAACATTTTCCGAAGGGGGTAATTTATAATATGACCTTGTAACAAGCATTCAGTGGTTAACGATTTAATTCATTCATACTAATCATCAATGAATTCTTCTTCTGTCTACCTCTACTGGCAAGATTATTTTAAGCGAATCACGACAAATTAACGTATTAACTCGTTTCTTCTCTTATTAAGCACAGTTGGAGTTTCTGGAAGTGAAAAATGTCATTGCAATCTTTTTAGAACATATATTTTATTTAAATTTACTTATGTTCACTTTGGATTGCTAGGAAAGATGGTTAAACCATAGAAAACCATGATTAGTTTTCGGATTTTATTCTAAATCAATTAATTCACATAAAAGGAATTTTAGTTATTGACGTATTATCAGTCTCATTTTATATAGACGATAACATTTCAGATTAAGATTTAGCTTTACATTAAAGTATTTTAAGGAAACTTTGTAAGAGGTACAGAAATCTTATGAAATGAAAGCATCCAACTTTAGTAGAAACAGAATTAAGAATATTAGAATAAACTATTTAGATCCCCCTTTTTGTTTTTTATTTATTTATTTATTTTAGTTTATCTCAGATTTAATTTTCAAGAAAAATTAAGTAAACGAACTTCTTAAAAATAACGAATGAAATAAATTAAAAGAAAACATACACGACAAGTGAAACTAATGAATGAAAATCTGAAAGAAATAATATCATCAACTAAACTTATTCTATCGTCAGAGAATTCATGGGCTTTGGAATACGTTTCCTTAGGAAACAAACTAACATATTTTTTCTCTGAGGCAAAGAGGTGAATGCGCGCCCCGACATACAATGCAAGGTTCAGGCCATTTGATGTAAGGGGGGAAAAGTTATAAATAAAAGACGAGGGAAGAAGAAATGTATTATATATAGGCACAAATACACAATAGAAAGTTAACTACACATATACACTTTTATATTAATTAAAAATAAATATATCAAACAATACTACTTAATCATAGCTTCGTATATTCAGAAAAAACAAAATTTTGAACAAAAAGCATTAAAAGTTTTCTTTTTTTTTTTTTTTTTTTTGATAAATGGCAAACAACATTTAAATAACACAGCAATATAACTAATATAAAACGTATCACACTAATTTTTCAAACACTTTTATAACCTATTTTTTCTTGCTTTTAACGAAGCAAAATAATCAGTAATTTTTCAATATCTATTTGCTTGCTTAATGCATGTTTTATAGAAGAACAGCCATATTCGAAAATTGTTTTGGACCAAGTGAATTTCTAATATAACGTTTTATTATTTCAAGTTTGTTGAAGCTAATTTCGCCACTTGAAACTGTAATTGCCAAAGTTAAAAATATTTTTAATGTTGCTTCCAGATTCAGATACGATTGAACTAACATAGTATATTCGTGAATTGTTTTTGGGCGATTTAAGCTTGTATCTTCTTTATTATCGCGAATTACTGAAATAGTGTTTTTTTTAATAAATACGTATTTCTTACTGAATTTTTGCATCATATATATTGTAGGATAGTTGACAGAATTTCTGCACGATTTCTATCATTCGGATATTTAAGGGCAAAATTATAAGCCGTTACTTTCAAATTACTTGAATCCGATAATATTAATTTTTCACCAAATAGAAGGCAAGAATCTTAACATATTTCATTTATTTTTTTTGTACCTCCATTTCAGTTTCGAGATTGAAACATCTAACACGTCTTTAAGTTCTACTACGAAAATAATAATATTTTTGTAAAAAATTCCTTTCCTTATCAACTGATTTTTGATAATCTGATTTGATCTTTCTCTTCACATCTATTTAAAATCTGTTAAGATACTTATCTCTAAAGAAATTTTTTTTATTTCTCAAGAATTTTTCTGGAAATATTTTCTCTCATGTGCTTAAAGAAAGACATATCCCTTTTATTAAGCGTACGACTTTGGCTTTATTCTGTTTCTCCTATTATAAATGCCACGCAGATAACGTGCATAAAAATTAAAATTTGTTTTTTATCAAAATGTTATTATTTTCATTCCATTACAATAATTTGTCGATTGATGCCATATCTTTTAATAGCCGATGTACTTTGGTTATTTGTTGATGCAATTCTTTAGCAACTTTTTTCTTGATGGTTATTGCATATCCCTGTTACTTACTCTGAAAACAAGAATGCAGTTATAAAAGATGAGAATAATAAATTATGGCTAATAGTCTTCAATACAGGAACACGTATCTCTCCTAGAAAATTGCTTAGCGCATTTTGTTCCATAAGGCAAAATTCGGTACTTTAATACGAACTGTAGTTCCGTTATAAAAATTTTCCAATAAATTTCTGCTATAATTAATTTGTTGAAATTCAGAATCCATAATAATTCTTAATTTACACTGATAATTCTATATCGATTTTTAAAACTGATGTAATATTGAACATGACTTTTATGTTGAAACCATTTGGCTTCCCTAAAATTATTCTAACATGTTTTGATCGCTAATTCGAATTCCGTCAAGTGCAATGAATTTTATAGTTTTTCACCTTTTAACATGGATCTACAGATTATTCATGAATAATAGCATGTTAAGTAAAACTTGTTACTTTCATTTTTTGAGATATTCCTGACTTCGAAAGTTTTTCTTACCAGTCTACTAAATGATAACTCTATGATCCTCCTTTTTTTTTTTCTATTGTTCGTATCCACAAGCCGCTTAGAGGATAACTCTAGAAACTAGCTTTGATATGGTTCACGGCAAACGGGTTGGCTGAGTATAGTTTTCAGAAATTTTCCATGGGTAACTCGAATATGAGAGGGTTTCAGGTAGAATATTCTTCGCAAAAGATTTCTTCTCAAAGCATTTAATCTTATGGGCTATGTAGAGATTTATTTAATTTACGTAACAGTTATTTATATTTCCAATAAGCACAGTTATTTTATGTTTCCTATCGCTCTTGCTTTCAAATCACACTTTCTTGCAGAATGCAAGTCGACTACCGCGCGTGTATTCAAATCAGATAGAAAGAAGTTAAGTATAAGGTAAGTTTGGGAAGGTGAAATCACAGCGTGTTCCGCCTGCCTGAAGGCCATGTTGCTATCTTTGAAATGCGTGATAGTTAACCTGTGAAGACATTAGACTAACTTAA